TATAAAAAAGATACATTCAACTCTACATTTCTCCGCACTGTGATATAACCACAGGTAATTTAGGTCTGTTGTTGGGTCCCGTAGGAACATTCTAAAAGGAGATAAATGACAACGATAATAGGGTCGTAAATCACTTTACTGAGCAATAAAAATTATATTGGCAAGACAGAGAAAGGCTAAACTACGTTTCCACAAGATATACAGGCAAAATTCATTGTACAGTAACTTAATTTATCACATATTATAACATCAATGAGGATTTACCCAGGAGAGCAGCAAGAAGGTATTACACCAAGATTTTTTTTGGGACATTTTTTACATAGACTGAGAATTACACTAGGTACACTGAACTTGGTGAGGGGATGTATTCTAAAAACAAAAAGAGTGCAATACTATTGGGGAAAATTTTAGGCTGGGAAGTGAGATTTATTTGCCTTCCCTTCCTTCTTTCAGGAAACTCTAAAATATGCACAAAGTTCAAGCAAACTCACAAAACTGTACAAATGAACATACAATGTACACACAAACTTAACAATACCTCTATTTTTCTCATCACTAACAGTCCATCAACAACTTTACCTAAAATCACAACAGTAAATGTGAATACTGATTTTCCAATAATCACATAAAATAATATGTAAACAGAATATTACCCTTTTTAGAAGTGTAACATTCCTTCAATAGATAACTTGGAATTCCCAAAGGGAAAATATAAAAATGCACACAAATTGCTGGCAAATTCTACATGGGAAGAGAAAATTTCTAATTTCTAGTTTACATTGAATGCCAGTCATAACAAATAATAACCACAACAAATGAATAATTACAGGAAATAAATCTCAATAGGTTAAAAAGACAACACTCATTGGCAACAACAACAACAACAACGTTCTTAACAACATAAATCAAATACATTAAATTATAATTATTTACTTCATTTTACAAACATTGTTGACTGATTAAAAAAATTATTCACAAGTATCAAGATGGTAATACTACACTGTACATGGTGAACCTGGGAACTAAATTAATGGAGGTTTTATTATTATCTCCACGAAGAAATTAACTTTGTTCATATTGTTTTAATTATACTTACCAAATACAACATGCTTCCCATCAAGAAAATCACACTTGGCACAGGTGATAAAGAACTGCATGACAAAATGGAAAGACAACGTCTCCATTTAGCATGAAAGGGTGCTCTAAATTTGTCTGTATACATTCTCTGTTCTAAAAGGGGCACAGTTTTCAGAGAAAAAAGATAAATGAAAACTGAAATCTAAACATTACCATGAACACAGCCTTAATAGTGCAACAAATGTTAAATACCTTTGAATATAACTATACTGTTTACATGTATGCTTACCTGACATCCATTTGTGTTTGGACCACTGTTTGCCTAAAAATACCATTGGATAAATTTATCATTTAAATCAAAGAAGTCAAGAATGGACCAAGCTATAAAGCAATTATTGTAACCATCAATGCAATCCAGTCCTGTATATGATCAGATTAAAAATTAACTTGATCGATCTCAGGAACCTCTCTCTCCTTGAACATTTTAAGGATTGTGCCTAAGTAGATGAATTGATTTCATTATCATCACTGCCAGCCTGCTCTGCTGTTGCACCACAACCATCATCCTAATCCAATTATTTGTCATCATTATAAGTAAATATGCATTGTTTTATCATTATCATATCATGCAAATGTATAACCAGTATCACTACCAATATAATAGTGGAGAGTATTAGAGGTGCACTGAGACTTCTTGTTGCATGTAATTACCATCAAAAGAAATGCAAAGAAGTAAGATACTATTTATACCAATGAACTACTGCATAATCATATAAACTTGTTGAATCACACTCACCATAGATAGAAGACCTGGTGCATCATGTTTTAACTTGAAATTTTCATCAGGGAATGCAACCTCTCCATAAATACTAAAAACCCCTGTACCGTCACCCTTAGAAAAAATTTTTAAAAAAAATTATGTGCAGGAAAAAATAGACTGCATATACCACATATGTGAGACATGGATCAATTAAGGACCTTGAATAAATTTATTTCAACCCTTACATGCTGACAGAGTAGGGGGTTGCCACGCATCCAGCAAAAGTATTCTCTCAGTGAGCATATGAAACTACAGTGGGGACTGGCCACAAACATTTTACTCAAGTTTCTTTCTTCATTAACAGGATTAATAAACATGACATGAGAGATTAATATTTTTTAATAAATTAATAATGGTAATAAGACTGAGTCGAGCCCTATTCTGTCTGTAATCATACATTCAAGTGATCAACAAAATCGGACTACTGTGAAGTGGGAGTCTAATTTATTAATCACAAGTCAGACTGATCACAGACAGAACTGGACCACACAAAGTCCTGTTACCAATTAGTCAAAATTATGACAAAATTTCAGAAAGAAACTAGACATCAGTTATGTGTACATTTCCATAAAAAAAAAACAACAACAACAATGGCAACGATTAACTTTGCAAAATGTGAGACAAAAGCATGCACACATGGTGTGTTCTGTCCACTTACACAGGCATGACATGTTAACTGACCCTCTAACTGTCCAATTACAAGCATGATACATATGCTGTCCTATTAGTGCTCAAATTGGCCTGATGATAACCAGTCACGTTTGAGAATTTTATTATAGTTTTGATTAATGTGGAACAAATAGTCAGATGCACAGTTAAAGTTTGGAGGGAGGAGATAACCTTTGCTTTTGAAAGTCCTGAGTGACATGGATTCTGGATACCAAGCATTAGCCAGCACTTACTTTGACAAAGTCGCCACCTTGAATCATGAAGTCTTTTATAACCCTGCCAGATAAAAGCATAAATCTTAAAGAAGCAATCAAAGATGACAAGTATCATTGCTATGTGCAATAATTATATACCATCACAAAAATTTGCATTCTTAGACACTACGACATTTATAATTGCCTTAGTTTATACGGTGTACATGTAGTACAGACATGCAATGTTTTGTTCCTAAATTAAAACAAAAAACAAAAAAAGGCAATCATTTTAGAGGTCTTTACTGTATGTAACTAAAATTACAACAAACCTGTGAAAGAAGGCCCCTTTGAATCCTTGAGGTATTCCATCTTTTCTATGACAGAAAAAAAATGAGAGTGGCTGTAATTAAGAACAAAGAAGATTTCTTGAATTTATTTACATACAGAATGTACTATTTTAAAACAACCAAAAAAATCATTGCTCATTCCATCTACAGTTAAATAAATCAATCAGACAGACATTGGACAGAATATGTGTGGTGAACCTTAACTCTTTAGCCCCTAAGAGTGCCCAGCATCTAATCTCTCCTTACAATATCACCCCTGAATCACACATTAAGGTCATGAGAATAATGAAAATGATCAACAACTACAGAAGCTCTGGATCGTTAAGCTAATTCTCCTTATCAGCACCTTAGGAAATGTATAGAGAACAGTATGGAGAATATGCATACTGATGTTAGAGTGTAAAGGGTTAACCTGAGATCAAGGTTAAACCTAGGATCAAACCTTTTTTCTGTAATTTCTTTAATTCAGGTAAAGCAGAGGAATAATATCAAAACATATTTTTACCTGAATTCTCCTGTGCACAGTTGTCTGGAAATAAAAATGGAAAGTAAAGAAGAAACATGTGTATAAAGGTTTGCCAAAAGGTATTGTGGAGTTAAAACTTTTGACTAAGTGTCACGTGAAGAATGAACAAAACTACAGTAGAATCAACCATGTCACTACTGAACACTGACACTTTGATTGGGTTAAATGTTTTGTTGTCTTGTGTGCAGACATAATTATCTCCTGCTTCATCCAATTTGGATTTACATTGATGGAGGACTACATGAATTTATTCAGTTAGAAAAAGTTCATACAGACTACAATCCAAATAATTACAAAAAAGGGAGAGCTTGATGTAGATCAAGTATCCAAAGGATTGTAAATACATGTAAGGGGAGACATAAAAAGCTTCAAATTCATTTCTTCAGACAAGAGTCAAGGCCCTTGTACTGAGCCTATCCCTACATGTACTAAACACAAACACACAAAAAAATTGGGAAAGGACCCCTTTATGATGTTGTTTGGGGTAGAGGGGAGGCTGTACACAAGCTAATTCAAGCATTTTTACATTTTCTCTTGGTTTAAATTTGAAACATTTTGCTTTCCATGAGACTCAATTGAAGTTTTTTCATGAGTTTGTGCTCTTTTCAAACTGTTTCCTCTTTTCAATAGCGAATTAATTAATAAATGATACATAAAAATAACAAGAGAAAAGGCTGAATTTTAAAAATACTCCAGCTATGCCACAGATTTCTGTAATTAACCCTTACCTCCCAAGATCTCATTCATAGTTCTCCTTACTGTCTGCCATATAGTTCTTGTGATGTTAATTTTGAGAATTTAGTACTGGATCAATTAATAATCCCCTAATTAGTATTTTTATTTATTCTCATCACTTGTCTGCTTAATATTGTATTGATTAATTGAAATTCTGTCTTGGTTACACATAGGAGTTAAAGGGTTAAAGTTGCAGTTAGTCATTTATTTTCTAGTTACTTTACTGTTCATCATTATGCATGCAAGAAACACATTTCCTTCTTTAGAATAAGAGCTTAGGAGAGGTAAAATGTTCTTCAGTAAAGTAAAGGGGTACTCTAGATTTACTCCGGGACAATTAAAACCACCTCATATTTTCTGCTGTTTTCGGTACGACATCTGCAAACAGCTCCATTTTCAGTCTTCCAACCTCCTACATTTTGGAACAAAATGCATACTTGATTACAAAATACTACATATTAGATAAATGAAGGTAAAAAAAAAAAGATCAATGTCAATAAAATATTAAAATCAATAAATATTAAAATAGATAAATTGATGGATAAATATTGGAATAGTTTAGCTAACCAAGGTCAAGCTCGTATTCACTACAGTAAAAGCTTAGGTGATCTATAAAAATTTAGTGATTCCCATCAATTTTGAAATTTTTCACGTAAAATACTGCGTTGGAAACGAAATTCTTAGGCAACACAGCTATAGTTTCAAGCGACATAACTTCGCGATCAGGTCAGATGACTTAAAGTCCATTTGACATAAAAAAAAAAGCTTTCGTTGCTCTCAGCTACGCCTTAAGCAACTCTAACGCAACTATCGTGTTCTCCAATCTTCCTGTTTGCTTCATATCTTATCAAGACGTGTGTATCGCACAACCAAAAGCTTTTCGCGTGCTTGAAACCTGCACATGCATCCCGATGAACCACTTGTTTGCGAGTCCTGCTCTCAGCCATCAGAAAGATGATCATCAGGAAGAAAAAATATAAAAAAAAAAAAACGAAATCGAAGTGGCATTACCTGTCCCCCTATGGATATATCGAAGAAAACAACGGGATTTGAGGGGTTCGAGGCACCCGTTGAAGACGATGCTGCCGCCATTGTTGAAATGAACTACGAGGAATGGGGAAGAATTACCGCTTCCCTAGACTCCAGTCCTTTGCAAGGGTAAATATCCCTCACTAGGGCCTGGAAAGATATTCGGAAGTTTCAGAAATCTACACCCATTGTGCATTTTGTTCCTGATCTAATAATTGCTGGTCTGCAATAAGGTCGGTTTTATAGTTTAATTGCAACGTAAAGTATGGAAAATTTGGTTTAGAAAGTATTGGTCAAGTCATTTTTGCTCAGAGATATTTCTGACCAGGGAGGGGTAGGTTGAGAGCACTGGGCCCAATGTTTATAGCGCTTGGGAACTGTACAAATAGATACACGTGCTTCGTGCAGAAGCTTATGACCTCGAGTCACAGGAATGTCGGTGGTGTTCATCGTGGTATATTGAAGAAGTTCACGCAAGAAGGAAACAGGTAGGGAACATAGCGTTTCCTTGAAGACTGCTCACTGATCTTGATGTGGCTGATCACGAGTTTAGCTCGCGTTCAATTTGGCTTCCTCTTCCATTTCTCTGTTTTAGTTTTATCTTTGTAGATTATCTTTTAAATGTGTCGGCGCAGTTCAGTCAGAAACATATATTTAGACTGAGATCTAGCACAAGGGAATAATAAAAAGGTGATCGTACCGTTTTCCATCAACCAGCTTCAATTTGTTTTGGTCGGTTGTGATTAACTCGAGATCAGGGTTACTAATTTTATGGTGCTGATGAGAAGCAAGATTTATGAAATTATAACACAGGAATATTGCGGCATTTGATATGTGCTCGAATGGATTCGATTTAATTTTAGAAACAATACGTTAGTACAATACAGTTTTATTCAATGTATTTGTTAATCACAGAATATAATTTTATATGACATATTTATTTCATAAAGACTTAATAAATTCAATGCCAGTTCATTATTTTGCGATAAGATCACAAGAGAATTAGAACCTCTACTATATCTAAACAATTTCTGAAACAAAAGATAAGAAAAAATTGAAAAGAGACTATAATGGTAAAAATGACCTAAAAAATCAGTGTATTGTCATTCCAGACACAGGGATGTTGGCTTTTCGGTATAATGTAAAGTGCTAAAAGTCTGAATGTCTAAAAGAATATGTTATGTGACTGATTTAATCAGTTATTTGCTGTCGGCACAACAGTAGACACTACCAAATTTCCCATTTCCTTGGAGAGATTGTTGAAGTTAAATTCAACCCAGTAAATTTCAAGAACTGTCTACACAAAATTAGGTAACTGGTAAGATATGACACACAGAAAGAGCATATATAGAGAATTTTATGTTTATCATTTACTCCTTCATGTGATTGTATTTCTTTTTCAGAAACAGAAAATGAATAGAATACAGAATGGCTGGTTTTCCGAAATAAATGACCAGTGGCCCGGCCAAGCACTTTCTCTTGAAGTAGAGGAGATTTTGTTTGAGGGAAAATCAAAATATCAGGATATTCTTGTCTTTAAAAGGTATGTTTCGGGACTATCAAGAGTTGTCAATTGCTCTAGACATTTCTAGCAGATACAAGGCAATTCACCAATTTTCACGACTATTTGCAGAGCACATGTCATGCTTTATATAAAGATTTGTCCTCAATTGAAAAAAAAAAAAATAAAACTTGAAAATATTTACAGACTAAAAGTATCACTTTTTACATATAAACTTAAGAATGACAAAAGTAACACCCCAGCTGTACTACTGAATATTCTCACAACTGCATCAGAGATTCACTCATATAATACCAGGTATGTTGCAAATCAAAACGTCTTTAAGCCATCATGTTTTCTTAAATCAATCAGCATCCATTACAAATTTTTGTTTTTATTGTTATGATACTTTATTGGTGAACCCTCTGCTACAAAAATATATATTTTCTTCTAAAGTTGATCTAATACTATAATCAAATAGACCCACAAACACACATATTGAATAGAAGTCTTCTCAATTTTCTAGCAAGCATCATGGCAAGGTCCTTGTGTTGGATGGAGTTATACAATGCACTGATAGAGATGAGTTTTCTTATCAAGAGATGATTACTTTTCTTCCACTCAACTCGCATCCTTGTCCTCGAAAGGTAAAATGTTCCAATTTGAACTACTGATTATCCTATCATTAAATGTCTGAGTAACTAACCAGTTTGGCAATTTGTGATGAAATCTCTACGTAGCTAAATACAGTACTTCTAATAATCTACAGGTTCTTGTTGTTGGCGGAGGCGATGGAGGAGTTATCAGAGAAGTTTCTAAACATCCAGCTGTGGAGTCCATTGTTCAATGTGAAATAGATGAGGTGAGTGAAAAAGTGGTTGTGTGACTTACTGTACTCATAAAGCTTTTGTGGTCTTTTTTATCATTCATTTTCAGTCTTGCTCAAACTGTGCAATATGACTTTTAGTTGAAGGTCTTCCTCAATAGGCTGTATCTTTTTAATCCTTCCACCCCTAAGGTTGATTAGTATCTAATTTCTCTTTACAATATTACCCATGAATTAAACATTGAGGTTATGAGGATAAAGAAATGCATGATCACTAGCTAAAAAAAAGTTGTGGATTGTTATAAGCTAATTCTTCTTGTCAGCATCTTAGGAATGGTATAGAACAGTCTGGAGAATATGCATACTGATGTTAGAGTGTAAAAGTTCAATAAAAAAAGCCTGGTTTGTCACTGATCACCGTCATTATCCTCCCTAAATGTTCACTTGTCAGTGTTCTTGTTTTCATAATCCTCTCTGCCAATAAGCATAAGTAATGAAATTACTTCAAATGCAATTGGTCTCAATATGTTTGTTAACACAAGTACATTTTTCAAATACAAAAAAAAATCACATGAGCTGATAAGGTGTGTGCAATTTGTGGTCTTAGGTGCATATTTACACCAAATTACACTAGAAATCATGTTATTGCTTCAGTTGTTAATAATTTACATGAAAAAAGCATCACAGGAAGTCAAGACAGAAGAAATTTTGAAAGTGCTTGTGTGCAATTCGTAATTTTCACTTGACTTACAACATTGCACTTGTGTTACATGAAGAATGCACTTGAAGCACATAATTTTTTCATGTATATTATAATGATGACTACATGCAAATCATCCTAACAATTGATTTTGTTTTAATAATTATGTTGACATGAACTTCAGACAGTTTGTCTGATTTGTTTTCATTTTTCCATGTAGGAAGTAATTGAAGTGTGTAAAAAGCATTTACCAAATATGGCTGAGGGTTTTAGCTCACCTAAATTAACTCAGTATGTAGGAGATGGATTTGATTACATGAAGAAGCATGAAAATGAATTTGATGTTATTATTACAGACTCTTCAGATCCTGTAGGTATGCATACTTATCAATGCAATAGCCATCATTCCAGCTCTTAACTCCCAAGGTCTTGTCATCAGTTCTATGGTCTGTCACATAATTCTTATGATAATATGGCCTTGAGAATCAACTTCCATTTTACACTGAGTTCATCTGTGTGAAATTTCTGCTTGATGGGTGCAAAACTGTTGTTTTGAGGAGAAGCTACATTTTGAGGGAGTTGAGGAGGGTATGAATGTCCCAACACTTAACGTTGAGCTTTCGAAACTTTACAAATAGTCCACTGGCGTTTTTGAAAATTGCCATCTTGTGCTGGATGACATCCATTACAAGTGTGTGCTTTTTTACCACTTGACATCAGTTATCACTCAGTTGTTGAATAATAAAATTGTGCTTACCTTTTTTTTCTTTTTTTGTTCCAATTATTATTTTTTAAAATTTTGTTTGTTTGTTGGTAACCGTAAATGCATGTAACTTACGTATTAAATCAGTATTGTCACTGTCCTTCCAGGTCCTGCAGAATCTCTGTTTCAAGAATCATACTATGAACTCATGAAAAAAGCACTTAAGCCAGATGGATTATTATGCTGCCAAGGTACTTAACACTTACCGATTTTTTTTTATATAATTTTCCGGCCACCTTACTGTATGTTGGCGCATATGTGCGTTATCATTATCACATCTCTATACAATGTATACCAAAAACATTTACCCGTAGTCCATAGTAAAGAAAGATGTTTCTTCGCCTTTCCTCGATTCCCAATGGGGAGATGCTCTACCACTGAGCCACTGAGACTCTGTGGTGAGATACATGTACAGATGTAGGCCATGACTGGGAATTTGGTAACATTTTAAGCTCAGTAATGAAATAAAGAACGAGGAATCTTCTTGTCAAGAGCGTGGGGACATAGATAGTTGGTAGACATATTTAAGGAGACATTCGAACGTCGGCTTAGGCTGGATGTCGGCCGAAACACACTAGTAACAGCGAGCAACTGTGCCATAGGGTACAGCTTCAAAGTGATGCTAATTGTCATTCGCCCTAATAGCATCGGAAACGTGCTGACTAGCTCAGTTTTGATAGGGAATCCATGGTGAAAAAGACGAATAAATATTCATGAACACCTATTTACCTTTGACAATGGTTCATTTGCTCTAAGCATAGTAATCTCTTTTGATGCGGATGTTAAAAGTTAGTGTCGAGATTCAACCATGTATAAAAGCATAACGGTACTTTTTTCTTTGTCTTTAATTTAATTACGATTTAATGGCTACTAACCGTAAAAGATTCCTCAACCTCCAGACTATCAAAAAGGTAATAGGTAAGATTGTAACAATAAAACGTCCCCTCATTCCAACACTTAAATAGGATCATACTAACGTTTGCGTACATTTTACGTCCAAATCAGCGAAACTAAGCACCGCTGATAATTTATTGTCACAGGTGAATGTCTTTGGCTTCATATCCCTTTAATCAAGTCAGTCTTGGATTTCTGTAGAAGATTATTTCCTTCAGTCAGTTATGGTTACACGACAATACCAACATATCCCAGTGGACAGATAGGATTCATACTGTGTAGCAAAAATAAGGTTGGTAACAGCTCATGACAGACTTCGACATCAGTTTTTTATTAAGCTGGTGGTTGATGGAATTCGATAAATAGGGCGAAAAAATTGGGTGCGCTAAAACGAAATCTCTGGTAACCGAAACTTAAGGGGGAGAGGGTTGATAATACTGTTCACGTAGTGCGGTATTACTTATGCATTGGGTACAGAAGGTATGAGCAGAATATTAGTGGGAGTTATTTTAAGGCAGTATATTCAGGTAATGACGAAAAAGTGTGCGAGGAATGAGGTTGTAACATATATTTTTCATTGCACTTTAGGAAACTAAGTTTGATAATCCAGTTACTGAGTTTACTGAGGACCAACTTGAGAAGTTCCAGCTGAGGTACTACAATGCTGACGTTCACAGAACCGCTTTTGTTTTACCACAGTTTGCAAAAAAGGTTTGTACCCAGGCTTCCTGTTTTTCTCCTTTTCTCTTTCCTGTTTTTCTTCTTGGCCAGCAAACACCAGTTTGCGAGTTTAGTAAATGGATTTTTCTGTCTCAATTTTTAGGCGCTTTTGATATGACACCCACACGACGATAATGGTATTGTTGTTCCATCACGTCTCTCTCTGCGGGATACACTAGCGACAGATAACAGTGACCAAGATACTTATATAACCCGGTCAAAAAGAAAAAATACAGTGCAGCTTAAATATAACGAGACCAAGTGATAAGGAGACAACAAGTCACTCATAAGTTCTACTTCCCCAGTCGAGGAAGGGTGGAGACCAGGAGCCCATACTAACATATTTTGCTTGTCACTTTTTTCTCCTTGGTTGCTCTTTCCTTAAAGGAAAAATAAAGTTTATTATTGTAGTATTTATATAATTTAGTTGCCTTACCTATAATAAACATGAAATTAATTAAATTGGTAAGTGCTCTTAGCTTCAATTCATCAGTGTTGTTATACTTTTGAACTATTTGCAATTGAGTTAAAGTGAATTTTCAGATATTTAAATCTATCGTATCTAGTTGGTAATCGAGGGTATTATTAGCAAACTCCTGCGCGTACCTATAATAAACATGAAATTAATTAAATTCGTAAGTGCTCTTAGCTTCAATTCATCAGTGTCGTCATACTTACGAACTATTTGCAATTGAGTTAAAGTGAATTTTAAGATATTTAAATCTATCGTATCTAGTTGGTAATTGAGGGTATTATTAGCAAACTCCTGCGCGTCCCTCGTGAAGTCAAAAGAAACTTACTGAAAATCTTTTTCATCATCACTTTAAGTGCGATTCGCAGTAGGCATTTGTTTCTCCCCGTAAGTTTCAAAAGTATTTGAAGGATATTAAAGAAAATAGGCTCCATTTAGCGAAACATGCTTTTGTTCACTAGTATACTCGTGTTTGCGGGAAACCTTTGGAAACACACTCGCTACAATTATTCATACAAATTACCACTTGAACCCTGATAGATTAATCGTCTGCTTGGCGTGTTTTACGGTCTTGAACGTAAAATTACTCTTTGATTTGATATTTCAGTTTCGCTGCATGCAGCCACTGGATTGAAAAGTGAGGCAAGCCCCTTTGTCTGATCGAAAGTTGTCCTTGGCAATTCGAAATTAAAAGTAAAATTAACCTTTTTTATTATTTATTTTTAATTTTTTTTCCTAATAAATACTCAGCTGTGGGTTCGTTTTTTGCCAGGAATTGAGCAGTGATTTGAACGGGGAAAAACTCGAGCACTTAACGGCTAACTTCTTTAAAACTTCCAATTTATTAATTTTAAATAAAAAATTCAAATAGTTCTTCATTAATGAGTCGCGTCTCTCTGAAATTAAGACAACCATCCGGGATATTTGAATCGATTCACCATGATTCTTTGGAGTATTATTCAATTAATGAGGCATTACATACTGGCACTTTAAGCTTCCAACCTGATCCAGCCACACTCTCATTCTTTTAGGAGGTAAAGAATCTACAAAGCTTTAGAGGATCAGAACCTCTTTATCCAGAACAGTTTGTTGAAAACAAGCACAAGTATATGTGCCCAATTTGAAAAGAGGTACTTGATCAACCAGTCCAGACAAAATGCTGAACTCCACACATATTTTGTGCTAGTTGTTGGTCATTTTCTTTTGAAATGTGTGGATCCCTTTGCCCAGTGTGCTGAACTGTCACTGTAAATCCTAACAAGTTCGTTGAGCAAGCCCCTTTTGTTCTTCGCACTATACTTTCAGAGTTAGATTTTCAATGTCCTACTTGTAAACATACAGTAAAACTTCACCAACTACCTCAACATCAAGAATATTGCATTCAAAGCCCTACAACAGCACCCACACACATCTTAACCCCTTCCCAAAGATCAGTTTCAGTAAAACCAACCCCCCTTGTCCCAGTGAAACCCATACCTGCAGCAGAGGAAAAGGGACTAGCACAGGTAAATGTACTAAATAATACAACCAGAACTTACAACCACCACTAGCACAACAACAACTTGTGGGGAAAAACTGTCAGTTTATCAAATACTAACCAGCCCAAAGGAATTTTATTCATCCCTAAAGGAGGAAGTTGGATTGTTCATCATTTGACAGTTTCTTTCACAGTCTCAGGATGGGGCAACTATTCTCCTCAAAACAGGTGGCCAGGTAATAAAATATTTTTTTAAGTTGAAAATAAAGACATTCATTTCAAAACAAAAGATAAGATAATCCATTTTCAGCCCTTAGAAGAGTTAATTTTATTGCTTTGAAGAGGGACATACAGGACACCTAACTAAATGGTTCTCTATTTCAGGTTTGTGTTCCAGGACTTCACATTAGCTTGGGTGTGTTTAAGAAACTGTTTGATGAACTAGAGAACCAGTGCTTTGCACTGGACAAAAAACATTCAAATGATGCTGGCAGGAGACAGTGAAGAGAATGATGAAAAGATCCAGGCATTCAGAGCTGCCCAACTACATACTAGACAGGCACAAAAATTTCATGAAAAAGCCAATTCTTTAGAGGAGTTGCTGAATTTACAAAGTCTGCATGCTAATGTTCATATCATGCCTGCCTACTTTACACTACTACAGGAGGAGATACACAAACTCCTTGGAAATGCAAAGGAGGAGGTAGCAATAATATATTTGTGTTTTCCAGTATATCAGCTGTATGACCCTCCAATTCCATTGCACATGTTTCAAACCCATCTTAATTTTTCAGTTGAAGAAGGTATGATTTTGTTTTACAGATCATTTATTTATATATTTATTTATATATTTACACTGGCTCAAATGAATTTGACAACCTATCAACAGCAAGATTTAAAAAGTATTATCTCAACATTATAGGAAAAGCTTTTGGGTGAACAAATGGAATTGGCTGCCTTTGAGAAAGTCAATGGACCATTATCAGTTCATTTGGATGAGGTTCTCAAGAAAATGAATGTCAAGAGACAAGCTTACCATGGAAAATCATTAATTGGTAACCATGTACACACTTGCTGCAAGGTAACACAAATCCTACCCTTAGAGAAGGAAATTGTTGAGTCACAAAATTCTATTAAATTGTTGCGGGTTTCTTTTTTGGTAGGAAGACAATATCATTTAACTATGCAGTACTGTGGTGACAAAAACAGTGGAGCTGTGTCCTTCCTTCCTTTCTCAAGCAAGAGAAATTAGTGTTAAATTTAAACAAGTTTTCAAGTTATTTACTGCTTGCCACTTAGTCTATGAAAGTGCAGACTATCTCAATAATGGCAAGATTGATAAGTTAGGTAAGTGAAAGAAAGAACCTCACTTTTATGAAAAACATGAATTCAATAATAAGATCATGTCTTAAGTCTGTTCCACCTTTTCTTGTTGCAGAGGAAGACATCGCAAATTTTCTTCAGTTCATTAGGGAAAAATTCCCAGACATGATGATCACACCAAGGCTCCATACGCTAGAAGAACATGTTTGCCCTTTTCTTCAACAATGGATTCCATGGTGAACAAAGGATTGAAGGAATACACTCCTTCAACACCCAGTCCCAGCATTTTGACCATGTGAAGAAAAAGGACACGAGATTACGTCAAATCCTTGTTAACCACCACATTGCCACGAGTCGGGAAAGCTCTCAAACCTAAAGAGAGAAATTTAAAACGAAAAGCGAACGAGTAAATCCCCTGCCTTTTCACTTGCAATGTATCGGTTCATTGACTAAGAACGAGTACTATGTATGTAAATCTAGTGTAATTTATTTGCTCAAGTACTAGTTTATATGAATAAAAGTGTTACCGCACTCTTTGGAACCAAAACTAAAGCTCTCCAGTCGTTTACAGACTGTTTTGCTTAAAATTCAGTACTTCCGAAATTCAAAATGGAGTCGCATAACGGCCGATCTTAACATATTAAAAGCGCCTCGAGAGGAGTCTAAAACAATTCGGATTAAAACATTTACCTCTGTCAGTTGTTCAGTAAGGTTTGAAGTCTTCTCTAATGATTCTTGCTTTGCTGGGAAAAATTCGGGCCTTTTGCAAATTGAAATAAAAGTTTTCAGTCAATTTCATAGGGAATGCTTGTTGAACTCCACCCTAGCAACGTGTTTTCGTCGAATACAGGCAAAATTTGACCGATTTTACTCAAATTTTCG